ACCCGTCTCTCCCACAAACATGAAAACATGCCTTTAAGAGCTTAGGTTAAGTTTCAACCTGGCATAGACTCAGACCCAATAGCTGCTATCTTTGCATCTTCAGGGCTGTTTTTCTAAAGTTGATGTTTCAGTGAAGTGGTAGCTGTACCCTGATCAGTGATTTTCAAATTGTCTTGTGCATCAGAACCATCTGGGTCCCAACCCCTGAGGTTTTGATCTAGCGGCCTGGAGTGGATCCAGTAATTTGCATCTTTACCTAGTTCTTAGGCGATGCTGCTCATTATGGAACCACGCTTTGAGAACCACTGGGCTGGCCACCTAGGGAGGGTGGATGTCTGATTAGAGTGACTAAACATTTGGAGCTAAAATCAACTCATACCAGAGGCAACTCAATTTCTAGTGGATGTGGCCATAGGATATTGATCTACCGATTTATCCATTCAGCCAATATTGATGGAGAATCTACTATGTCCAGGTCTCCTGTGATTCCCAGCCCAAAGATAAAGATAAAGTTGGTTGGTTTGTTTTTCCATCCCCATCAGCTCAGTCTTGGAAGAAGGTAAGGAAGGGTAATGTGATTGCAAACATTTAAGTTGGTGTCGTAGCAAAGCATTTAAGTCATCCTCACCAGCCTTACCTCCCACACTCAGCTGGAGGGCAGGAGACCTAACCTCTAGTTCCCCTCCTGAGCAGCGGGGTAACAGTGGTGCCTACTTGGCGGAGCTGAGCGCTAAGGGAGATGGAGCATGCCCAGTTTGGCCCCTTGTTTTAGTTCTCTTCATTCAACTTGACTGCTCTCTAGAAGTCAATCAAGAAACACATTCTTAAGAGCTGCTTCTCCCCAACCTCCATGTCCAGTGGTTCTCAACCTTCTGGCCCTGAAAATACAGTTCCTCATGCTGTGACCCAACCATAAAATTATTTTCGTTGCTACTTCATAACTGTCATGTTGCTACTGTCACAAATCGTAATGTAAATATCTTATATGCAGGATGGTCTTAGGCGACCCCTGTGAAAGGGTCGTTCGACCGCCAAAGGGGTCGCGACCCACAGGTTGAGAACCGCTGATTTAGGCAATCAGGGAAAAGAGCCTGGCTAGAGATTCCAGACCCCCGGTCCTGGAACTCCCCCGTGTGGCCAGATTTAAAGAAAACGTCCTTCTGGAGAGTAAATTTTGTAAGCAAGGTGCTCCTTCCGTGGCCACCATTGTCAGCTATGCAGCTGGGGGCCATTTTATCAAGAAGTGATCCTTTGGGGTGGGGGCGGGAGGGATATCAGGGGAGGGGAGGGGAGGGTGAGCCATACAGGTACACGACAGTCCCCTCATAATGAAATGTAACAAAGGAAGCAATTAAGTTCAGTGAGGGGCACAGCTTCAAATTAGATACTGCATTCAAAAACCATTCTACAAGCTGTGAAATGTGGTCACCTAAGGTATTACTGTGACTTCCCTTATTTCGGTGAAATTGCTTGGGATGTTATGTCTAGTTAAAGGGCCGAGAGATGGAGAGGCTCCAAGAGTAGCTTTCTGGGGAAGGGAAACAGAGGTGAAAGGGTTAAACTCCCCAGAAAACCAATTTATGCAAAGGGCTGGATGCTGACCGGCCTCCAGACCAGCAAGGATCTGAATTACAAATGTACCCACTTTGCTGCTCAGTCGGGAATTTCTGCTCTTCCTAATGGAGCCCTTCCTTTCTGTTCTCTCCACTGAGAGAGTGAACGAGATCTAGATTCTAGACCACGGAGGAGCCTGACTGTACTCACCTGGGAAGTGCCTTTGACAAAGGCTTAAGGGGCACGTTGGGAGGATGGTTAGAACCGACCCTTACCATTTCCGTTTCTGCGAGCCATGCTCCGCGCTTGCTCCTTGGGTGAGTGAATCATTGCAATCGCTTTCCTGCTCTTTAAGGAAGGTGGGCTAGCCGACTGCATTTTTTTTTAAAGCTGAAGATCAATTTGGGACTCTGACATAAGAAATGACGTTTGTCAGGTTCAGTGGGTAGGAATCTGCTCCCGCTTTGAGAAGGAGCCAGCGGGGCTGGTAACAGAGGCTGCGATTCCGGCCTCCTGGAATCTAATTGAATCTGGGCTGTTTGCAAACAAACTAGGGCAATCAGCTACCCTGTCTGTGTGTTTAAATCCCTGATAATTTGTTTAAAGAGGGGAGGGGGTGGGGGAGGGGTGACAACAAAAATAAAAGAACTTCACTTTCTTTCCCTTTTTCCTCCCCTGGGGGCATTCTTGGGGTATGTGTTCCCTTCCCCTAAAGGTAACTTCATGAGGGCGCAAAGGGCCGCTGAGAACAGCGGTGCCGTGAAGGGGTTAATATGTGGGCATCAGTCAGTCACCGTCAGCTGGGCCTGGGAGCGGAGTTTTCCTGTTTTGTTTTCCCAGTGGCAGCCATTTCAGCTCAATAGCTCAATTCTTGGGAAAGGCCACTTCTTGACTTTGGAGAAGACACACTTCCCTGTGCACCTAAAAGTAAATAAGCAAACAAGTAAATGAGAGCACAGACTGACAAGGCCCCGTGCCCCTCCCCAGGCCACGTCTCTCAGTTTCAGGTGTTCGAAGGCTTTGCTGAGGCAGTTTTGCTGCCCGAGTGGCTTAGTTTGAGGAACATCAGTCCCTCTTCGTGTTTATTGTAAATGCTCAGGAATAGGCTCTAAACTAAAACACACACACAACCAAAACCACAACCACAACCACCCCCTCCCCATAAAACAGCAACCACACAACACTCAAACTTGCTTCCTAGCTGTATTAACAATTCAATATAGAGCTCCCCACATAAGTCAGCTGGGTTCAATGTGCATGCCTTAGAAAGCGAGCAATTTCATGAAAAGATTGCTTTCCTTCTTGGCCAGGAGGATGGGAAGCCAGTTATAGAAACGGTTGGCTTGCTCTGCAGGGGGATTCTCAGCAAAGGACCTCTTTAAAGATTTTACATTTTTGGGGGGGGGGGGAGATGGCAGATGGGAGGGCTCCTTCTGCATATAACCCAGTTCCTCCTGCGTATGCGCATCAGGCCCAAAGCCCCAGCGTCCAGTGAGGCGAAACTTGCAAACGATACTCTCACCCTTTCACCGTTCTCAGTGGACTGGTGTGGCCCGCAAACCCCCGCTGGTTCCTGACACAAAGGAATCCCAGTGGCCTGGCCCCCTGCCCCCTTCCCACGCCCTGTGACCCTGGGCTGGGGAGCGTCACCCCCAGCAAGGGCTTCCCCAGAGGGTTTTTCCCTGATTTGTGCCAAGTTAAGCTTTGGGACATGAGGTGCCATGAGGTCATTCTCAAAGTAACCCCCAGGCTCGGGCAGGCGGTCTGAGGCAGTCACTCAGCCACATGGGAGACACCTCGGGTCTTTATTTGAAACCTAGCACCCAGCGGGCCCAGCAGCAAAGGCCCCCTAGTTTGTTTCCTTAGAGATACCATTTTTCTGCTTCTCCCAAACACACGTTCTAAACACCTTGTTGCCCAATCCATGGTTCTGTTTGGCTAAAGTGCAGTCTTAGAATATATTCCATTTATTTCCAATCAACGTGTGATGGATCACACACGTGATGGATTTGTATGGGCAAGTGTGTGTGTGTATCTGTGTTAGTTACATACACTACTTGTATGTGTGTTGAATATGAATGTATGCATGTATTTATCGATCCCTGTATGCATTTATGTTTATATGTATAAACATGTGCATGCACTTATTTCTGTATGCAGTGTATGTATATATGTATAAACACATGCATTTATGCTCAGGGGTGTGAATGTTAATCCCCGTGGGTGTATCTGAGTAGACACTGCTCACGCAGACGGCCTCTAGCTGCTCAGGGAGCCCCGCTTCTCAGCGCAATGGAAGCAGCTTGCCTTCCTGCCTCGAAGGGTGGCCCCTTGGCTGGAGGAAGCACCTGCTGTGGGGTGCACTTTACGCCGCAGCGCCCCCTGGGCAGCATGCAGCCCAGCTCCAGCCGAGCCCAGGCTTTGCTCAGCTCCTTCCCAGCCCTGCTCTCTTCCTCCCTTTCTGAAGGGAGTCCTCCCTCAGGATTTCACATGCATCGGGACGAATCCCATCTCAGGCTCAGCTCTAGGCAGCCTGGCCCAAGACAGCACTTCTATATAGGTGCATGTGCATATGCAAATGTACATGCACACACAGTGGTCTTCCTGTGTGCCCACATACAGGGAACCTGGGAGGAGCTGGGACAGAGGGCAAGCTGGAGGAAGAGCACTGATATATATATTTTACTGGGGGAGATAAAGGCGTCTCAGACATAGGATGTGAGAGACCTGCTTTAAAAGTGGAAAATTAAAAGATGCTTTAGATATCAATGTATTTTTTTTATTAACTCAGAGAAAGAAAGATACAGTACATGATATCAGCCAATCATATGCGACTTTTGAATGACATTTTAATAGACTCATGATCCTATTTATTCCTCTGTACAAGTATTAAAAAACTCATATGTGAATAATCTTCTGTAAATTTTTATTAATTGGGGTTACGGGGAGGGTTTTACCAGAGCACATCCTGAGAACATTAGGAAATTACAGACAGACGTGAGACAAGTGCCAGACAGAACAGATGAAGCAAGCCCCTCAGCCACCTGAGAAACATGAAGAACATAAGATCGCAGGGACCACATCTTTGTTAGGGACACAGGATGCAGGATTCACATGGAGCCCTGGGCGCCCCCTTGTGTTGCAAAATAAACTAGCAACTGCATTTATTTGTTTTTATGTGTTTTGTTTTTTAAGTTGTAATCCTCGCCCTTGTCACTGAGCCTCAAAAAAGCAATTGTTTACCCAAACTGTTTCAAGCCCTCTCCAGTCAATCTTGCCCCTCTCGTCAGTAACTTTCAAGGACCCTATGTAAAAAACAACTCTTATTCACTCCTTTTCTCATTCCCCACACATTCCACTCCAGGAAATTGGCAACCTCCCAATACAGAGCCATGTCCTCCCTCCTTGAAAGGTGAACTTAAACAGATTTTCCTCTCTTCTTGGATGAGCCCGTTTAAGACAAAGCTTAATTACGGAAGGCAGCCATTTCTTTCCTGCAACTTGTCGCTGCCATGCTTCATAGTTTAACCAGAAAGATCCCTCTACCCTACCCCACTATCCACTCTTCTGACCTGACAAGTTAACCTGCTAAACCATCCTTACGATTATTTACCAGCAAAGATCGGACCAGAGACGTAAATAATACACCTCAATATACAACAGCTCAGGCTTGGTTTGTAGGCAGAATTTCATTCAATGGCCATCAGAGGAAAAAATATATACATGGAGTGGGCTGGGGAGGAGATGGACAGGGAGGAGGCCTCTTGGTGGCAGGAGGACGTGGTGGGAACTGTGGCGATTTGTTTACTTGGATTTGCCAACTGGTCCAATGGATACGGGGTCTGTTTGCACTTGAGCGTCCAACATCCGCTTTGGTCCCTGGAGAAAAATATCAGAAAGTATGTCCTAATGAGGATCTGTAATATCAATAGCAACAACTGCCATTTATTTAGCACTTACTCTGGGCCAAGTGCTGTGCTCAGTAAATGCACCTCACTCGTCAGTGGTGGGTAAGAGAATAGTCTCCCGTGAGATGCCCAAATTCAATGCCTAGTTTTATTACTTTCTAGCTCTGTGAAATCTTAGACAAATAACTGGTTGTGCTTCAGTCAGCTTCTTTCTTTTTCTTTCTTTCTTTTTTTAGAGAGAGAAGCATCGATTTGTTGTTCTACTTATTTATGCATTCATTGGTTGATTTTTGTTTATGCCATGACTGGGGATCGAACCCACAACCTTGGCATATCAGGACAATGCTCCAGCCAACTGAGCTACCTGGCCAGGGCCCGTTTCTTCATGTTTCAAATGGGGTGACAGCCCTGGCTGGTGTGGCTCAGTTGGTTGAGTGTCATCCAGTGCACTGAAAGGTTGTGGGCTTGATCCCTGGCCGGGGTGTGCAGGAGGCAGCGATCGATGTTAGGCTCTCACATTGATGTTTCTCTCTCTCAAAATCAATAAACTATTATTTTAAAAAAAATAAAATTGTGGGTGATACAAGTCATCTCAGAGAATTGTTCTAAGATGAAGTGAGTTTGTGCATGTAATGCATTTAGCACCGTGCCTGGGGCGTAGAAAACCCTCCGTGATTACAGCTCATGTCAGTCACCCTCTCTAACCACTCTCTATCCACACTGTCTCCACCTGCATGGAGCGCTGTGGACTGCCGGCTGTATCCCGGTGCCCAGTACCTGCCCAGCACACAGTAGGTATCACCTGAATGCGGCTGAATAAACTCTAGGAATCAAGTAGTATTATTACTGTTGTTATTACTATTTAACCTTTTCTGTCCAGTATAATTTACATACAATAAAATTAATCCTTGTTTGTGTACAGTTCTATGATCTTTGACCAATACAAGTAGCCATGTAACCACCACCAAAACCAAAATAGGGCGTTCAATCGCTTACAAATCCCTAGGCTTTCGGAGTCAACCCCTCCCCCAGGCCCAGACACTGGTAACCAGGGGCTGTTCTCCAGACCTAGACCTTTGCCTCTTTCAGGATGCCGTAGCAATGGGATCACAGAGCATAGAGCTCTGAGCCTAGCTTCTTTCATGTAGCATAATGGGTTTGAGATTTATCCATCTTGCTGCATTATCAGGGGTACTATTATTATTGGCCGTTTTACAGTGTAGTAAATATATTGTAAAGTAGTATAGTATAATATGGACTTATATATATAGGACAGTAAAGTATATATACCCTAATCCTAACCCAAGTGCAGATAGTACATAGAGTGAAGCACAGGTAGTAAAATACATATAGTATAGAATAGTATAATAGATAGTATATATAGATAGTATTGTGTAGTATAATGTAGTATAGGATAGTATACTATAGGATAGTGTATACTGAATAATATATACTAGAGGCCCGGTGCATGAAATTCATGCACGGGATGGTGTCTCTCAGCCCAGCCTACACTCTCTCCAATCTGTGGGATCAGGCCTAAACCGGCAGTCTGACATCCCTCTCACAATCCAGGACTGCTGGCTCCTAACCACTCACCTGCCTGCCTGCCTGATTGCCCCTAACCGCCTCTGCTGGCCTGATTGCCACCTAACCGCTCCCCTGCTGGCCTGATGGCCCCCAACTGCCCTCCCCTGCCAGCCCAATCACCCCCAACTGCCCTCCCCTGCCAGCCTGATCGCCCCTAACTGCCTCTGCCTCGGCCCCCACCACCGTGGCTTTGTCCGGAAGGAAGTTGGACATCCAGAAGATGGCCAGTTACCCTGTCTAATTAGCATATTACCCTTTTATTAGTATAGATACATACATATAGAAACCTAGTATGGTTAATATAGCATAGTATATAGTATATATAGTACAGTGTAGTAAACCATCGTATATATAATATAAATATATGTAGGGTAATACAGTATAGTATGGTATATACAGGGGTAGGCAAAAGTAGTTTTAATTGTATTTTTTGTATGGAAAATACAATATTTAATAAATCCATGCATCCATCCATTTATCCATCCATCCATGCATCCAGCCACCCCTCCATCCATGCATCCATCCATGCATCCATCTGCTCATCCACCCATCATCTACTCATACAGCCCCTCATCCATCCATCCACCCACTCATCCATCCATGAGGCATGCATCCAGCCAGCCACCACACCAGGGAGGACAGGACATTTGCCATGACAGATATGGTCACGGCCCTCCCAAGGACAATAGCCTAGGGAGGAAACAACTAAACAGACAGAAATAAAGAACACAAAAAGGTTGATTGATTATTTAATGTCTGGCCTCCTCTCATGCCGACCAGGCTTCCTTGGATGGAAGGAGCTAAGTTTACTAGTAGTCACCTCTGTGTACCCGGCCTGCAGGGTCAGGCTTAGAGCAATCTCCCTGGGTTAAATTCTTCAAGACTCCCTTTGGCCACAGACGGCCATCCATGCTTCTAGTCAACTCCTGCCCCTGCCAACATCTCCCGCCCTTGCTTTCTGTCATCCAGCCAGACTGAACTCCAGTTCTCTGCGCCCTCTCCAGCACACCTTGGCACCTGTCTTCCCTCTGCCTGGCACACATTCTGCCTTCAGACCTCCCCTTGTCCCTCTGTCCGCAGACTAGTTTGAGACTCCACTTCCTCGGAGAAGCGCTCCCTGACGCTCCTCTCAAGGCCAAGGCCAGGCCACACCCTCACTCTCAGGCTCCCCTCACAGGCCTGCCTCCTGCCTCCCAGCTGTTTCCAGACCCAGCACCCTCACCCCATCCATCCCACCAGGACTGTCACTCCAGACAGCAAGGCCTGTGCCCACCTTCTCTCTCTGCCCAGCACAGCGCCTGGCGCAGAGCAGGTGCTCCATAAATACTGTTTGACAAATGTCCCGCCAGCCCCTAGCCAGTGGTCCCCTCAGGAGGTGAGCAGCACACCCCTGGCCCAAGAGCCCAGAAAGAAATGCTGAAAGCTCCGCCTACCAGGCCCTTGAAGAAGCCCCTGAAGGACTGGCTCCGCTTCTCGCGTCTCCTCTGGGGCCTGTCCCCGTTCTGCAGCGCGTTGGCCTGGGCCACGGCCACGGCCACGGCCGGCTCCGCACACGCACAGGGGGCCGGCTCTTTGGCTTCCTGCTTGTTGTTCCTCTGCTTGTTGCTCTCGGAGGCGGACGTCTTCTTGTCCTTGGCGGAACCCTCCTTGCCCTTCTGGCTCGCTCCTGCCGGCTGGGGCTGAGGCTCGGGCGGCGTGGTGGCCTTCTGTGCGGTGTGCGAGGTCTACAGCAAGTTCAAACAAATGCATCTCAGTGGCTGCAAGACAACTCTCAATAAATATGTTAAAACAGAGATACTCAAACGTTGGATGGGATCTAGGTTTTCAGGAGTCCTGGGTGAAATGAAGAAAATAATAAAAAGAAAACCAAGAAATGCGCCAATATTTATTACGGTACAGTCACAGCAGGGAACATTTGTTTGTTCATCTAATAATTTGTTAATTTCATGCTTTCCCAGCAAGCATGCTTCCCTTTTCTGGCACTAGAATGCCGGGGTCCAGCCCCAGCAGTCCAGGGGTTCCCAAAGGTGTGGACGGAGTCGGTGAAGAATGTTTTACACGGAGACAGCGTTCAGAACTCTCTAGCTCTCTTTAGTCTCCGTGGATCTTCCTGTGCCTGGCTGAGGCCACAGAGTAAGATCCTGAGGCAAACTGAGCCTTTATTATAGTCAGAGGTAAACAAGGTAGTGGTTACCAAAGTTACACTGTTCTTGTGAGTTTCACTTGTTTACACTGTTCTTGTGAGTTTCACTTGTTTTTGTTCTTGTTGCACTTCCCTCAGCCCATTAGCTTCCCAGGTAAGATCTAGGGAGCATTATAAGGTCAAGCCTAATTATGCTTAGAGGACTGTGCCCTTTAAGCTGGGACTTGTTTGTGACTTTGCCAACAGGTCAGTCCGAGGTTTAACCCTATAGAGGCTCCCCACACTAGAACCTGGGTTTTCCTTGGGGAACCACTCTCCACTCTTGTCTATTCCTTAGGGTTGAGGCACACTAATGATACCCCTGGACAGGAGCATGTGACCCAGCCTGGCCAATCAAACCATTGCATGTGATTGGGCTGCTGTGATTGGTTCAGGATGGCCAAACAGATGAAAACTGAGCTAATCTCAGAGCTTTGTTCAAACAGCTGTGTGAGAGAGTCCTGCTCCTTTTCTGCTGGGTTTAAAGATAAAAGCCTGCAGCTTCCAGAGCCACGGGCACTTCCAGGAAAAATACGTTTGAAAAGTTAGCTAACACAGAGGAAAGCTGAGAGATTAAGAGAGGAAGAGCCCACATATTGATGGCTTTGTGTGTATGCCTGGATCTAGCTGTTCCTGAAGCCCTTCATGCTAATGCTAGCTTTGAGATATTTCTGCATGTGCAACTGCATGCAACTCTTTTCTTGGGGATACCTTTTCTATTCTATGTCTACCTTGATTTCTGGTGTGAAACTGTCCCTTTGCTTCATAAAACAGTGATGAAGAAGATGATTGTTTTATTTTTAGTTTTGAACTTACATCCTTTCATGCTAAAGTGGAATGTTTATAATCCTACTTCGTTCCTACAATTTGGAGGGATGAGACTGTAAAATCCAAAATTCTAGAAAATACTGGGTAAATTAATGACAGATTAAAAAAAATCTACTAGGAAATAAAAGCCTTTTCTCCACAATTTTCTTGAACTGAAATGCCTACAGGGGCCAGACAGATAAAATAAACCTGACCGAGGCTACAGGTAAGAATTTTTTTGGAGACCTCATTCCTCCAGTTGCGAAACCAATGTAGGGACAAGGAACTATTTCTCTAGTGTAAGAAGACACCAGTTCAAGCAATGCTGTCTTTGATGTTTTAGGGAGACAATTTGGAGTAGGGGGACTGTGGTGAGCTGAATGTCACATGTCCTGTTTAAACAGCTGCTCAGACCCAGCCTAGCGATGCTAGGTACGATCCCAGCCCAGTGTAATCGTCAGATCTGGTTTTTCAATGGAAACTTAAAATTTATTTTTTTAAATGTGACATATGTGTATTTTTAAGTACTGACTTCTCAAGTTTTAAAGCGCTGTTTACAGCCAACCACAGCCCCAGTACCCTGTGAGCCACATTTGACCTACTGGATATATGTTCGCAATCTCTGATTTATGAAGTTATTACTGTCCCCAGGCCCAGAAATTCTATGACAAGGTGGCAGTTTGATTGAGAAGGAGCAGCCAAAGAGCTGTCACTGACGTTGTGGATTGAGCACATGCCTTGGAAGGAAGTGGGAAGACAGCGAAGGCCCCAGACCCCAGGCCTCAGCAGGTTGCAGCCGCCGGAGGGCAGCCTCCCCTGCAGAAAGCAGCATCAGACACTCAGTGCACCCGAGAAGCTGTTCTGCAACCGTGTGTGCTCAGTATTTCTGTCGGACCCCTGCAGCTTACATTCTAGCAAATGCTAAGGCACAGAAGGTCCAAGTACAGCAGACAATGAGCCAGAGACTCCCACCAGAAAAGACCAGTAACCAGTGACCCCATTCAAACAGCTCCCCCACTGTTTTTGTTGCATGGATGATTTTAAGATACAGCGAAGAGCTAAGAGCTTGGTGTGTGAAGTCAAAGGGACCAGGTTCTAGTGCTGTCACAACCTTGTTGTGTGGCCTTGCTGTGTGTTCGGTCTCTCAGCTTCCTCATCTGCATGGAGGTAACTAAAGAAATCATACCTGTGCCGCTGGGAGGACTAGATGAGCTGGTAATGACACCGTGCTGGGCCCATGTGAATGGCCAAACATAAGGGGGCCAATCATTTTGGTTTGTTTGAGTAGCGGGTGGGGGGTTCAGGACATGGAACAGTTTTAAAACTGGGAAAGTCCTGGGAAAACTGCTCATCTGGTTTAACATCACCAGAGGTGATCCTGAGAGACTGTGTGGATCCGAGTGCCAGTACAGAGGAGGCACTCAGGAAACACGCGTTGATTCAAGTCCCCCTGGGATGTTTAGGTCATGACTTAAAGGACAGGGAGGACTTTTCCATGTGGAGAAGAGGGAGGAGCATGTGGGAAAGCTTTGCAATAAGAAATAGCTGGGGACTCTGGCTTGTTCACGCTGTATCTGCAGAGCCCATTAGCGCTGGTAGACAGTAGGCGCTTAACCTGGAGACACTGACTGAGCTGGCGTGGTTGAGGACTGCACTGGGAACGAGGCTGGAAAGAAGTGAGGGCACGACAGCTAAACCCACCACCGAACCGAGGTCACCCGTCACTTACTTGGTAGCTGGAGTCTTTCCCATTTATGTCTTCTGAGTGGGTGTTCCCTCCATCCCCTTTCACTGACTAAAATAACAAACAGACAATGGCCTTTCAGCTACCACACACGCAGAAAAATAGAGCACGCAAAGGCAGTTCTGATACGGGTGGCCGCAGTCATTCGTTGTTGAGAATCAGATCAAGACAAATGGAAGACCAAGTGGAAATGGATTACTTATGAGATATACACTTTCCACATGGTCTGCACCCAGAGAGTCTAATAAATTCAAGCATCAGCATCCAAAAATGACAACAACAAGACAAGTCTTCAACTGCAGGGTTAGGTCATTCTGGAATAAATAAATGGTGATGAAAATACCAATGTTGGAACCAGGAGGTGACTGAAAACATCGATGAATGAGTCAATGAACAAACAGGTGGCCCAAAGGTACAAACACCCAGTTATAAGATAAATAAGTATTAGGGCGTGATGTACAACGAGATGACTACAGTGACCTCTGCTGTGTGATATAGAAAAGTTGTTAAGACACTAAGTCCTAAGAATTCTCATCTCAAGAAGAAACATTTTTTTCTTCCCCCCCCATTTCTTCTCATTGTACCTGTATGAGATCATGAATGCTAACTAAACTTTCAAACCTTTATGCTGTACACCTGAAAGTCATACAGTGATATATGTCCATTATATCTTAATAAAACTGGGACAAATAAAAACAAAGTAGATGAATAAACAATTAAACCATTCGTAGCCTTTCATTGGTGACATTTGGTGGTTCTTCATTGCTCCCTCCCTCCTTAATTCCTTCCCTCATCCCTTGTTTAATTTCTCTCTATTCCCCTTCTGTTCCTCTGGGAAGAACTCCTCTTCAGAGATGAATTGGAACAGTTCATCTTGGGCTCTGTATTAAAAGGACCACAACCACAGAAACTTGTTTTTTCCAGCTGTCAAAAATAGCAGAGTTCCTGTTTAAAGAGACTAAAATTCTTTCAGAGACAAATACTTTAAAGAACAGTCTGAAGACTCTGAAATAATTTCAGAAATTTTCCAACGTGATACAGAGCAACTTTCTTCATGGAGTTTATTTCTGATCATGATCATCAAAGGGTGGAGACGAGACCTGGTTGTGACATCCAAGCCTATACATAAAGTTATTTTCTGTTTCTTTTGCTGGGTCGCACATTCCTATAGCTTGATAATCTGAGGCATGTCTGAACCATTTCCAATACATATATCTCTTAGGTACTCAGAATTCTCATGGAGACGTTTGGTGTGTATTTTGATGGAGATGTTATCCAACCCAAATTGAGATTTACAAGAAAAATTGGGAAGCCATTTTAATGTGGTGTGAGCATATCAGCAACACTGTTTACTCGATCGGCCTCACTACAATACATCCAAAGAGCAGGACCTGCTAGAAATTTCCAGGATAAACAAAGGCTATGAGTCCAAACGTGGTGTTTTACCAAGATGCTCACTTGAAACGAAATTGGACAATTCAGACAAAATTACACAGTGGAGGCCAATCTCATTTTAGTGACAAATAATTTCAGAAAACTATGTCCAATCTTTACACCCATCATGTATTCATTCCTCCCCTTTTGCCTTTAATTCCAAGTGAGTGTAATTTTAGGGAATTTCAGGTAGGACTACGACATAAAAATGATGTTTGCTCAGAAAGCATTACTCAGAGAATCACCAAAATGGAGCTATGGCTGTCCTATCTCCAGGTCGTCTCAGAGAAAGCCAGCGTCCAGGAGAATCCCAGGAAGCAGAAATAACACGAGTAGAAGGTGAATCAACAAAAACCGAGGCTGAGCTCTGGCTTGGCCAGTTAGCAGCTCTGTGACCTTGGGCAGGTCGCTTCAGCCCGAGTCTCTGTGCCCTCACCCGCACAGCAGGGCAGGAGGAGTGCTTGTTCCGCAGGGTTTTTATATTAATAAGTGAGTGGTACACTCGATGTGCTGATTAGCACAGTACCAGCCACACCGTTGCATGCAACAAATGGAAGCTATTATTATTATTACTATTAATCACTGAGAAGTGCAGAATTCATCCCCTTTAAGAGTAGAGAGAAATGCAAATTGCTGGTGAAGACAGAACTTGCTCAAACAAACTCTGCTTCCAGAAACCCTTCCTTATGAGCAGTCCAGCATTTATAGTTCATATTCAGGGAAGAATTTGAGATTAAGAACTTTGGCTAGGAACTCCCATTTGACCCAGTGATCCCACTTCTAGGACTATATCCCAAGAAACCAAAAACACCAATCAGAAAGGATATATGCACCCCTATGTTCATAGCAGCACAATTTACAATAGCTAAGATTTGGAAACAGCCTAAGGGCCCATCAGCAGATGAGTGGATTAAAAAAATGTGTTACATCTACACAATGGAATATTACGATGCTATAAAAAAGAAGGAACTTTTACCATTTGCAATAGCATGGATGGAACTGGAGAGCATTATGCTAAGCGAAATAAGCCAGCCAGAGAAAGATAAATATCACATGATCTCACTCATATGTGGGATATAATGATCAGCATAATTTGACAAATAAGAATAGATCCAGAGACAACTGGTAGGGGAGGGGGGGTTAGAGAGCAACCAAAGGACTTGTATGCATGCATATTAGCATAACCAATGGACACAGACACTGGGGCGGTGGGGGCTTGCCCAGGGTGGGAATGGCTGAGGGGAAGGGAAGGAGTCAATTGAGGAAAAAGGAGACATATGTAAAACTTTAGACAAAAAAAAAAAAAAAGAACTTTGGCTAGCCTGATCAGCGTCAACCTATGAACCAGGAGGTCAGGGTTCAATTTCTGGTCAGGGCATATGCCTGGGTTGTGGGCTCGATCCCCAGAGTGGGGCATGCAGGAGGCAGCCGATCAATGATTCTCTCTCATCATTGATATTTTTATCTCTCTTTCCCTCTCCCTTCCTCCCTGAAATCAATAAAAATATATTAAAAAAAAACAACAGCAACAAAAAACCCCCAGAACTTTGGCTAGAAAACTCTTGTGTTTTGTTTTGTGTTATAGTTACCATTATAAACCACCATCTTCCCCACCCCGTTCCAGATAGTAAATTTCAACAGGTTTTCTTAGACTCATTAGATTGAATGTATTTTGCCCAATACTGAAGCTCACAGTCTTTCTTACCTAAGCCTGAGAATGTTACTCTAACAAAGAGTTTCCTTCAAAACTAATGGTCTAAGGAGACTGGAGGAGGATTCAGTGAAACAATGTATGTGACACTAATTTGGAGGAGGAACGTACTGTACTTTTCAAGTATAAGGTGCTATTAATATTGACAAATGATAGATCTGTATGTCTCTATTTCTCTCTACCACCTTTATGGTTTCATCTGCCTACCTGGTTTGCAGGTACATGAATACAGTCCTCTACCCACTCACTTTATAAAAATATAACGCTTCAACTATCCAATTTCTTGACATACAGTTGACTTAATGCATAGAAGCATCATTTTTGATTGGGGCATGACAGATGTTTCAGCTGTTCCTTGCAATTATGCTGAAGATCTGTAGGAGCCCAGAGGGTCTTTGTGAAGTGCTATATCTACCTGTAAGGTAAGTACTTACATGACTATTTTTCCCCCCTCCCTGAAATAAAATTATTTGGAAAAAAATGATATTCTTTCTATTTTTACTTTTATGAGGTTAATTTCTGGAAGGAAAAAGCTCTCTTTAGAAATGAACTGGGCAATACATTTATTAAAATAAAAACTCAACCAAGAGTTACTTTGTCATGGGATGGTGAATGCATTATCTGAAGGAAACTTAAGGGTGACAAAGACTAGAAGGTGGAAAGTCAATGATCTGGTGACTGGAGACATAGCTTACAAACAAGGGGATTCATTTGAAATTGAGTTTTCTCTTCTATTAAGTCAATTATTTTAAAAAAAACTATATTATGTAACAATATCTAAAATCAGTGGAAACATTTCCTTATTTTACTCAAAAAACAAAACAAAACAAAACAACAACACAAAAAACAAAGAATGCCATAGGGATGGACCAGGTACTGACTCTATTTTCAAGCCCTTAGAGCAGTTTATTTTTTTCCTTCCTGCATAAATACAAAGACTTTAGATTAGTTTGGAAGCCATTACATATAATCTAAAAATATTTCTTCAAAATAATTGCTGAAGCTGACTTCCAGGAGGCTACACTAAAGACATATTAACACAGATGCATAAAAGCAGGGGGCAGGGGTGTTCATGCCAGTTAGCGAAGTAGGTGAGACCTTGTGTGTAAGACACATGGTTTGTGCTCGCTCAATGCGTCAGAGAGAGAAAAATAAACGCCTGTTTTCTTCCTTAGCTTTCGTCTCCATGAGGACAAGAACCATGTCTGATGCTCACGGCTGTATCCCTTGTGCCTGAGTAAAGTGGGTGCTCAATAATTATTTGTTCAATAAGTGAATGAATGAAATGCAACGAGCTGGAAACAAGCCAATTGTCCACCAACAGAGCAAGGGCGAATCAGAGTCTAATAAATCCAGACAAGGAGACTCAATGAAGTTGTTATAAAGGATGATGTGGCTCTGTATCAGGGGCCTCAAACTCAAATGCTCACAGGGGTAGGGCCAGCGGCATAAATGAGTGAGCTGGGCTGGATGTGACAATAGGAAGTAGTGGGGATTGTGGTAAACTAGCAAACCCAAGTCTTTTGTGGATTTGAATTAACCACAATCTATAATAATAAAAGTGTAATATGCTAATTAGACCAGACAGCTGAATGACCTTCTGGATGAAGCCGGGGTGTGAGGGCCAAGCCCCTTGCATGAATTTTGTGCATCGGGCCTCTAGTAGTAATATAATGTTATAATGAAATCAAAACAGAATGTAAGACAAGGGTCATTAGGATATCTGGAATTTTAGGGGAAATCCCAACAGTCATGGAAGCTTTGGAGTTTACACAATCAAAGGAACAATGTTTAAGCTCCCAGGCACCACCCTTTTCTTGGGCAACAGATATTAAAAACAATGGACATTGTGAGACCTGACACTATGAATCCCCTGAAGTCTGCTTCGGAAAATAAAAGTCTTCTACCTTTATCCCTACCCTATGGAAAATCAATTCCAAAGGACTTTTGTTTCCAATTTTGTTCCCCTAACAGTTCAGATTACCCAGTTTCTACTGCTAGAAAATATCACCAAGCAATGGATAGCTCTGGAGGATGAATTTAAGTAATGTGGGACTCACTGGAATGTAAGGATTTGTTTTGAATGGATGGTTTACACGTCTTTCATGCTTTATTTGGAGTCTCTTGTGTTTTCCTCTCTTTTAAGTGAAGAAGTTGAGCATGTTGGTTATTTGGAAGAGAAAGTCATTCTGTTTGACATACATGTTATCTCTCAACTCCATTCAGACATGGGCCAGCTGGATCACACTCAAGGCTCTGACGAGCTATTTGGGGACCCCATTTGTGATGCAGGTGGGTTTCCAGAAACAGGCCAAATGTTCTTTTCTTTCCTGACATTGTGTACAAATTGGTTTAAACATCTCCAATCTTGATCCCCATTTTCAGTGCCAAATTGCAGAGCAAATGGCCAGGAATATGGATGGGGTTCCAGCCACATAGGCTGCCCACGCCTACGCAGTTTCTCCATGAGAAACCAGCAACGAAAGAGAACAGTTCCTGCCAACAGTTTCTAAGAGTTATTTCGCATATGCCTCAACTCCCACTGGCAAGGGTGTTGTGTTGTTTTGTTTTGAGGACTAGAAAGAATTCTTTAACAGGTTGGGCCTGTGAAATTAGAGTTGCTTCCTTAAAGGATTAAATTCCCAAATACTCATGAACATGAAGGCACACAATAATGAAATTCTTGTTTTTCATTAAAAGAGAATTAAACCAATGACCTTTTACATGCATTTTTGCCTTTTGTCTTCCAACTGATTTGGGTGTTAGTTCATTATATTATTTAAGTTCTTGGATCTTTAGGTATTTAATGTGGATGATGCTTTATAGACACCAAAGGCTGTATGCCTGAATTCTTTCCATTCTATATAACTACGAGCATGGCGAATTTACCAACTAAGTTATACATATTCATTCTTAGAAAATTATGTTCTCATTTCCTTATTTGAATATCTATAAGTCAGCTTTATCCAAGTTTGTGTCACCTTCAGAATTTTCCAACATCAATATGTAACTTTGACTATTCATTACTTAATCCTTTAAAAATGCCTATGTTCTTTATGTCATAAATGTGTTTTCAAAGGAAACCATATATAATTCCTGTAATAAGAAAAGCAGTGTCTTTTGCCATAAACAGGTAGAACCTTCACAAATAAATAAAAGTAAACAATAATATTAACTTCTAGGTGGATACTGTTGTCTGCTGAAACTCAGGACCCAAGGCCAGCTCTTTCTTTGTTAAGAAAGGAGTTAGTAGAGCCCTGACTGGTGTGGCTCAGTTGGTTGAGCATCATCCTGTTACAAAGAGGGCACCTTGATTCCCTGTTGGGGCACAAGCCCTGGTGGGGGGTGTGCAGGAGGCAACCGATGGATGTTCTTGCATCGATGTTTCTCTCTCCCTCTCCCTTCCTCTCTCTGAAATCAATAAAAAACATATTTTTAAAAAAGGGGTTGGTAGAGGTTAACAAAAGGTTATGAAATACTAGTGGCCTGGTGCACGAAGTTCATGCACACTAAAAGGGGATTAATTAGAGGAAATATTTTAATATTGCTATTTGCCCTTTCTCTATAACAGAAGTGTCAGAATAGAAGGAAATTAGTAAAATGTATATGAAAATCTTTCTCCTGTCAGAGTCTGGGGTGCACCACGGGACCCAGAGTCAAGTCCCCACCCACCCACGTGTGCCTCAAAATCTCGTGAGACCCAGACCCAGCTGGCCCCACCCCCATTGGGTGAGATCCAGACCTGGCTAGTCCCACCCTTGTCAAGCCCCCTGGGTGGGGGGGCGCAGCCTCAGGTCCCCTGGTCTGGTGCTGGGGCAGGGGGCTTGGCCTGAGGTCCCCCTCCGCTGTGGGTGCTGCCATCTTTGTGACAGGGTGCAGTCTCAGGTCCCTGCTGATTGCTTGTTAAGGGTTAAGGCTCATTACGGAAACACCGCCTCCGCTGTGGGTGCTGCCATCTTTGTGACAGAGAGACGATCAATTTGCATATTCCCTCTTTATTATATAGGATTAGCAATAAACAGACTTTCTCTGTGATTGAATCTGAAGCATAAAAGGGAATTTTCTCACCGCACAATTCACATGCCCTCCACCCTGCCTACAATTCTATCTCATGCACGTGTACATGCGATTTTAGCCTCGGAAGCTGCATGAGGGGTTCGGGTTTGCCTGCACCGGAAGCGAGCGGCTTACCATTTGTCTGAGGAACGCCATCAGGGAGTTTGTCGGTGGCTTGCGTTCTTCTCTTTTGAGTTTTCCTTCTGGGGGTGCAGGTGTGGCCTCCGCCTCTTCGTTGAGATCCACCGTTTGTAAGGCGGAGTCTACTTCCTGGGACCTTCTAACCTCTACCAGTGATTCACACACCACCTGGATTGTTTTGCCAGGTAATAAGACAGTAAAAAAACATTGCCCCCAACCATGTTTTATAAAGCGGGGTCCTGGTTGCCCTGCATCCACCCAGTGGCTACAGGTTTATGTCTATGACCGTTTCTACGCAGGCACATCTTCAAGAGGGAGCACTCATGTCTTACAAGGTGCGCTCATAGCCGCCTTCTCCATAGCTGCCAACAGCCGGCCTGGGAGGCAAAACCCGCCCCAGGAAGGTACAAGCTTAGACAGGAAGTGCCATTTGGGGACGGGCCCTCAAAGCTGCTCCAAACGCCTCCCCTTCTAGGAGGCCCATCTCTGGTGTGTGGTAGGTGACCTGCACCTGCCTGTGTAAATATTGGGGGAATCAGCCCCCTAAGTGTTCGGCTTCAGAGACCATGGCCTTGACAACTTCCACTCCGCATCCTGGCTCCCTCCACCTGGGGGTAACTGTCCTCTGTGCGGAAAGGATCATGTGAAAGCCCCTCCATCAATAGACTCCACGTCCTCACTAACTCATTTCCTCCTCCACCCCAGACCATCATTGTTGCTTAGCTCAAGTTCAGACTTTCAGAAGAGAAATGAACTTGGCAAAGTTGCTTACGGCCCCCAGCATGGTGCCTGGTGAGCTCAGTGTCCCTGATTGTCTGTGGGGATGCTGGCCAGCCCTGGTGCACAGCTGGGAGGTCCGGGTCACCTGCCTCTGATCCCACACGTGTCCTTGTGCATGGCCTGCCTTTGTGCCAGGCCGTGGTCACATCTGGGGCAGTTTCTGCATTGGCTTTCATTCCTGCAACAGGTTCCAAAGTTAACTGAGAGGGTTTATAACTTTTGTTTGCTAGTTTGTTTCCTCAGGCAGGATTGGCAAACCATTACCAGATCCATCTGAGTCCGTTGAGGTATGGCCTCCAAACTAAGAATGGGTTCACATTTTTAAAGGTTGTAAATATTTTTTTAACTGATAGAAATGTCCATCAGAGACTGTGTGTGGCCTGTGAAGTCTAAAATCTTGACTCTCTGGCCCTTGACATACGGTTGCTGTCCCTGCCTTGGAGGGAAGCAGTATTTGGTTTCCTGGTGCCAGACCCCAGCTTCCTCCATCTTGTCCTCACTGCAGGGAGGAGGGGGAGGAACTTACTTCCAAAGCAGAGCATGCTGTGGGGAAACCCCTCTCCTGTCCTTCAGGATTTGCAAATGACCCAAATGATGACCTTGGGCACCTATCTCAGTATTGTCAACGGGAGTAGGAAGTTGTCTATCCACCAACACATCAGCACGCAGGAACACCCCGAAATGAGGCAGTTAAATCTCAGCTGTTTCCCCCACCTTTTCTTTCTTAAAATATTGGCATGACTTCCAGCATCTTCGCTTTGTAAACAAAGATCTCGGTGGGAGAGTTACAAACTCAAAAGTCCCAGGAGCCAAGACGCTGGCTTTCAGCAGGGGATCTTAGCTCGGACTGACCAGATAGAAGACAAGGAGGAGTGGTGGGAACTGCCATGAACAAAAGACAGGTTGCCCCATCTACAGGGATTCGAAGAATAAAGCACTGGGCCAGCCAAAGAAAACAGGTTTGCGAGGAGGCTTCTGCGGGGCCTGGGACCCGGTTCCGGCTTTAGGAAACCAGCTCAGACTGGAGCCAAAGGAGAGACTGGCCTGGCAGTCAGGGGTGGGCGTGGGCTCCCACGTCTAGGCCCGATTTAATTCAATTGCATTTCTGAACAATACGCTTCAGCCACAGGATCCCTGGGTCAGCCTGCAGTGCAGCCAGCGGACACGGTGATTATGAGCGCAGCCTCCGGCACCAGCCTGCCTGGGCCTAAGTCCGACTCTGCCCCTCCCAGCGGCTCTCACCTGCCAAGGCCCCACTCAGCATCGCTGGGCCTGCATTTGCTCACCTTTCCATGGGAACGGCATACACATCAGAAAGCTATTTTCAGCATCAAACCGGGCAAAGCAGGTAAAGTGTCTAGAACAGCGCCTGGTGCGTGATACGCTCAGTTCACACTCCTGCTGTTGCGTGTGCTGTTAAGAGAGCTGTTTGCCCCATGGGCACAGGTTCCCTGGAATCACCCCCATGCACATGCGCCCCGATTAGAGATGATGCTAATAACTGCCTGTTGCTGCGCCTGTCACTGTGCAAGGCAGTTTAATACAGGCCTCAGTAAGTAGTTCAGAGACAGCTCAGCGCAGGCAGCGTTATCTCTACCGACAGGGGAAGCATCGGAATGACTGAATGACTTGGCCAACATCACACCGCAGGTCAGGAGTCATTTCGGTGAGGATGAAGTTGTCTACCAGTAACTGAATATCTAATGGCAATTTAACCAATAATGCTATGGAACAAAACGTTTGAAAGTCGGAAGTTCTGGGATTGGTTTAGTGGCTCCACAATTTCTCTGAGAACCTGAGCTCTTTCTACCCTTTGGCTCTGACATCCTTGGCATGCTGGCTTTTATTTGCTACCTCATGGATATAAAGTAGCTGCCACAGGTCCAGGCATCACATCCTCCACCCAGGGTCCTAAGAAGGAAGGAAGATCACAGCAAAAGATTTTGCTCCAAATGAACTTCTGTACTTTAATTCCCTACCTCAGGAGCCATTTCATTGGCCAAAATTCAGTAACATTTTTACTCCTACACTGATTACTGGGGAAGAATATGGAATTATTGGTTTAGACTAATCATGATCAAATACTTTGGGGATGTAGTAGTTACCAACCTTGCCTAAGATCAAGGGAAGACAAGAGGAGAAAGAGAAATGGCCTTAGGTAAGTAATGAACAGTCTGATTCACTGACTCTGGTTCGGAATTATTCTCGTTTTGAGGCAGGGCTGGAGGGAAAATTACTCACATAATAAAGCGATCAGGTTGTATGGTGATACCTCTATAAATCAACTTGACTGCTTGCCAATGGTTCTCTTGCTGGGCCTTTCTTAAGGTTGCCAGGTGTCAACTCATAAATCCTGGACCAGAATCTATTCTAAAAAAAAGACTCCCCAAAAAGTTGGCTTTCAGCAGCCAAGGAAAGTCCAGTGGAAACCCAGAAGGATTTAAGCTAAATTAGGAGCTTATTTGCATATATAGACATGAGAATTTCACTTTTATTTGGATAGTTTTCTGATTTCCTTCCAGGCCAGGGCTTTGGAAAAAGTTGTTCCTTATTTAGAATGTATGATTGCATCTGCACATTTTAATGAACACAATTAGAGTCAGATTTACACTATAATTTAGGATTAAATCCCCCTTGCTTGATGCCAGGAAGGGATATTAGATGTTGCATGAAGATACATATTTTAGCAAAATACAGTGTCACTTTCTGCCTCAAATATTATACCATACTTACTCTTAAAATTTGGTTTATACAGTTTTTACTAGAGCTGTGAGTTTTGTAAACTGATTTATAGCCAATTTTTGTAATGCTTCTTTATTTTCTTGAGAAAATATTTTGCTTTTTTTTCATTTATCTCTCAGCTTTTGCATTTATCTTTGGTATCAGTAATTTAACTCATGTTTATATTCCTGTTTTAAATTCCTCACTAGAAAGTGAAATACTTCCTGTTTGCCCACTAGACATTAACTCTGCATCGCGGCCTGTGAGCTGTGAGAGACCCGGTGCTTCAGACAGGCCACCACTCACGAATGCCTAAAGGAAGTTTCTCTGCAAAAAAACTCAGGGCCACGAAGTTTTTGCAGAGAAAAACACACACACAAAAATGGTAACATAGCCATTCTAATTTCTATTCCACATCACCAACAACATTTCTGGAATGTGCTTGGATTTTCAGTATTTGTTCAGTTCCAGCAACTAAATGAAAACGAAAACGCAACCCTATCCGTGGCAAGTACGCAAGAGACACCCAGAAGAGCGGAGTATATTTTGCTCCGGCAAAACGATGGTGCTCGGTTTCTAAGTTGAGGAGCAGTGAACTCACCATCCCCACTCATTAAAGTTTCCAGGGACTGCCACTTTCAGAGCACGAGGCCAATTCATTCATTCCCGGGAAGATGCTTTGGAAAGATAACATTTTTGTGGCGTCTGGTGTGCAGCCAGCTCCTTCAGACATGAGTGCACAGTCTTGAAAACTTTGGCCATTGCTCTGAAGATCAAGGCCAAAAAGACAGTGGGGCTCCACCTAAGTCTCTCAGGTACAGACTCACGGAGTTGGCTCTCCCACCCAAGACCAACAGTCTCAGCACCTATTGCCGCAAGAGGCTCTCATGCCTGGGGCAAGTGCCTGTCCTGGGTACCACCCACCGTTAGTAGAGAATCTGGGTTGTCATGCAAATGAACGTGAAAGAAAAGAAGCAACCAGAGCCGAATGGAGCAGAGTGGGTGCGGCATCCTTGTCCCGGAAGGAAGTATAAAGATGCTCTTACAGTTAGTAGACTCTTTCAGCCCCTAAAGGATAACAAATGATAAAAGCGCATGCTCTGATTTTGCACTTAGTTGGCACTGATTCAATGGGCATTACAAATGTTCACCCAACTCATTCCCCAGAGGTCCCTGATCCCGTGCAAGGGTGAAAGAGTCCACAGCAGAGGAGCAACCCTGGGAGCATGCAGGAACACAACTGAGGGGCCCCTGTCCAACATGCAGATGAGAATGGAATGAGTCTGTCGCATCATGCGTCACTTACATTCTCCTCTGCACCTGTGGGGACGGGCTCCTCTTTAACCGACTGAAGGGAAAATAAAAACAAAAGCGAGAGTCAGAACGTTACAGACACCGGGGCTGACAGCCTCCGGGTGCAACTCCAGGACGTTGCTTATGTGCCTTGTTCCAGAAAGAACTCGAAGGAGCTGACACAAATGTACACGGAAGAGCAAGATCATATACGTTATGTAGTTTTAAATGCAACAAAGGCAAAATGAACAGCCAGATGCAGCCAGGAGAGGGGTCACTATAGAGAGCACAAGCCGCAGTCTTGGCTGTAACACGTTTATGGTGACATGTCCTGGTAGCTGTTGCAAAGGGGGAAATATGTTCGGTCGCACAATACATGGGCACTGTTAGGTAAAAACAAATGATGGTCAGGAAAATTCTGCAGCAGGACCAGAGAGAGTCATCCACGGTCCTCAGAGAGCAGCAGGCGCCGAGTAACAAGCAGGCCCTCAGCCTTGTCCTGACCATTGCACAGTGGCCAGAGGCAGAAGCTACTCACATCAGCCCTCAATAGGGGCCACGTTCCTATGTCCAAGCCTAATTCTGGTAAAACACGTCAATGGACAGAAGAGGGCTGGGGCCCAACACATCCAAGTTCAGACACGGTTACTCCCTGTCCTGTCCGAAACAGGAGCAGAGTTATCCCAATCCTATCCAAAGCCGGTGCCACAATCATTGTGTTGGTTTGCCAAGCTCCAGCTGCAGAGCTCACCTTTGCATCTTTCCTGCAGCTGTTCCTAAACTTTCTGGGTGGTGGTGTTTACAGACCACGTCAGTCCAGGTTCACTGGACAGATCTGGGCTGTCTTCCCGGAAAGTGAGCATGAAGAACATATTCTGCACCTGGTTTCCGGGTGTTCATTCACTCTCACATCTCTGCTCTTGGATTCAGGTTAAGAACTCCTCCCCATATCTACTTAGTTCCCAGTCCTGCCTTTATTTTTACCTTTAACACATCCAATGGAAGGGGAGACGGGAACTGACATTTACAAATCCATCTTTTGCCCTTGGCGCTTTGTATACGTTCTCTCACTTACTGTGGCCCCGAGCGGCAAGAATGGGGACCCTCATTTACTCAGCAGGAAACAGGCTCAGAGAGGGGCAGTCACTTGTCCCAGGTGGAACAGCTAAAAAGTGGTGGAGGTGGTTCTTAGGACCAAGTTTTCCTCCTGCCACGATGACTTCCAGGATCAGAAACACTTTTTTTTTTTTTTTGGTGGTGGTGGGTGTCTGTTTGAGTGTCTTTTCCCATTACCAGACTTCTTTCTCTCTAGACTTCGGTGTGGATCATTTATTGTATTTATCTCCTTCTCATACTGACATTTACCTGGGCACAAACATGCCCCTAAAAAGGATTGTGGGTTTTCTGGAAGTTTCTGATTGTCAAGAAACCATAGGCCATTCAGAAGTGTAGTTTTCTTGGAATTATACCCTTTCTCCTTGAGAACAGTTGCATGCTACTTAATATTATGAACAGGTGAGGAATTAACCAATATTTTGAAAGCCAGACCGCCTCAAACCTGACCTGCCAAAGTTCCAAGAGGCAATATACTGCCTGCTTTAGGTGGAGACAGTCTTCCCACCATTTCCGAAGAGCAGTTTTCAGTTCTTCAAGCCTCTTTGCCGCCCAGCTGGCTGGGATGAGCTTAGCTTGTGTCTGGTTTCCGTGCCTGGGGAGTCTTGGCCGTTGTTGCTCACGGTGTTCGAGATGGGACTGGGAACCTGGTGGAGGCGATGGTGAGAAGCAGGAGCTGCTATGGGACACGATGCTTCTGTGATCGTTGTCAGATCTCAGACTTCCAGGTCTTTCTGATGTTTCACAAATGCCCATTAAGTTCTATTTAAAGTCCTGTTGAAAGGGAGGTGGGCACGTGTGGCACAGAGAGAGGTGCCTGCCAATAGCAAGGGAGACCTTCTTCTCAGTGTCACTGAGGAGTGGGGGTTGGGAAAAGGAGGTGATTGGTTACCTTCTAGGGCAGCGTCCAAGAGCTGCACAAACCCCTTTCGCACATTTCTGTACACTTGCACACTGGCCGTCCATGTCGCCGTTAGGCCAGCAGGGGCTGACATATCCAGTTGGGATAATTGGGTAAATGAGCGGCTGGGCTCCTGCCCCTTCCGTGTTGGTCACATGTCAGAAACACCTGCTCAGAGCCCATGTCTGGAGCAGCTTGCACGGCGGGTTTGTGGCTGGAAACACCAGAATTTTCTAGTGCTTCTCAGCATTTTACAGAATTTTTACAAGAACGATTTTATAACTAAAACATTTTAATTAATTACTTTATTTATTTTTTATCTTTATTGTTTAAAGTATTACATATATCCCCCTTTTCCCCAACTGACCCCTTCTAGCTGTCCTGCCCTCTCACCCCAGGCCTTCACCACCCTATTGTCTGTGTCCATGGGTTATGCATATATGCATATGAGTTCCTTGGTTAATCTCTCCGCACCCACCCACTACCCCTACCTTCCTTCTGAGATTTGACAGTCTGTTCTATGCTTCTATGTCTCTGAATCTATTTTGTTCATCAGTTTATTTTGTTCATTAGATTCCACATGTGAATGAGACCATGTGATACTTGTCTTTCTCTGACTGGCTTATTTCTCTTAGAGTACTATCAGCAGTAAAAGAGAAGGATCTCTTACCCTTTGAGATGGCATGGAGGGACCTGGAGAGTATTATGCTAAACTTATTTTAATTTAAAGAAAACAGAGGTCTCAATTTTATTTCCAATTAGAAGAGAAGTTCCCATGAGACTGTAAACTGCAAGAGGTCAGCAATCTCCCCACTGCTGTCTTTTCTTATTGATTGATCAATTGATTGAATTTATTGGGGTGACACTGGTTAATAAAATTAGGTTTCAGGGGTGCAATTCTACAACATGTCCTCAGTATACTGTACTGTGTGTTCACTACCAACTCCCATCACCATTTACCCTCCCTTTACCCTCTTCTGCCTCCCCCACCCCCCTTTCCCTCTGGCAATCCCATAAGGTTGTCTGACTATGAGGCTTTTGTTTTGTCTTTTCTTAATCCCGTCACCTTTTTCACCCAGCCCCTCCCCCTCCCCTCTGACAGCTGCATGTCTGTTCTCCGAAGCTATGAGTCTGTTTCTATTTTGTTTTTTAGAGAAAGACAAGACCCATATGATTTCACTTATAAGTAGAATCTAACGAACACAATAAAGGCACTGCTGTCTTTTCAATGCTGATTACTTGACACAAAGTATTTAGCACAAAAAAAGTCAGCACTGATGAAAGAAACGGATTAAAAATACTGTCATGGGAGTGAATCTCCCCATTTTACCTCCAGTGGGCGCTGTTCTTTCTGACCCAGTGAAAGAAGGAAAAACAAGATTTACAGGGGATTCAGCTTTTAGTAATTTTTATAATCTACTAAAGAAGTAAACCGGATAATGTTGGAAAAAAAGAGTGGAACGGAAATAAATGAAATTCTGTTATTAGGGAGATAAATGTCCAGTACCCGCCTTTTATCTCCATGGGAGAAGCTTGAATTTAAAAGCACACCTCCGATAGACCCTTAAGGGAAGAAAAGATGAAGCATGGAGGCTTGTTGGCTTAGAGGCGCCCCCAAACTGAGCAGCCCAGAAGGATGAGAAGTGGATGTGGGTAGTGCCCAACCCTCCCGAGCAGAGGCCAGGAAATCCATGACCTGGGGACAGTGCCCACCGGCCACTTCTGCGCTGGGCACGTGTTAGGGTTTTACCAGAATTATTTCACCGAACCCTGGCTGCCTTTCCATGATGTGGTGCTCTTCTTATTTGCATTTTACAGCTTAGGAAACTGAGGCTCATCCAAGCAGACTGGGACTCAAAGTCAGATCTGTCTGCCACCAGACTTTTAACCCTTACGTAAGGGATCCTCCAACGGCTGATACTTGCCGGCCTCCTGTGAGGTTTTTGCTTTGTTGTATGCGCCATCAGGTGGCACCTTCAGCATCCTCGATGCCCAGGCCGGCTCTCCCTGGCTACTCCCAGCCCATGACTGAGCACTGGGGGTGCTGGGCCATTTCTGCCCAATGCGTGGCCCCAGAATGCCCAGTGTCTGTGCTGGGAATCCCCTCTGGCCCAGCCCACCCTCAGGCTGAGGGACCTTCTCCCCCTCCATTCCCTCCCTCAGTCATAGGTCATGGGTGTCCGGCTCTGATTGGCGGGCAGGCTCTGTGCCTCCTCCTGCCACTCCCGTTATCCTTCACACTCATTCTCCTCTTACACATGGATTCTGTCTCGGGGTCTGCTTCCTGGAGGACCCACTTTACCTTTACTTACTTACTGTCAGTACCATGACTTATGCTGCACTTGCCTTGCAACTGGGCTGCTTTTGAAACCTATCTCTTACCTTGAACAAAAGATATGTTAAACCAAGTTCAATGTGCCAGTTCTGTTTTTCCTAATACACTTTAAATTTATATATATTTAAACTAGAGGCCTGTTGCATGAAAAAATTCGTGCAATAGGCCTTCCCTTCCCCTGGCTGCCGGCACTGGTTTTCCTCCGGCACCTGGGACCCAGGCCTTCACTCCAGCCGGAGCCACCTTCAAGCCTTTGCTGCCCCGCCCGGCCGCCCAGGGTTGGGTCGCACATGGGACGCCTGCCACCCCGGGTTGCAGATAGCAGGCCAAGATGGGGGCAGGCCAGGTGGGATGGCGCTGTCCCGCCCTGCCTGCAGTATGCAAATTAGCCGCCATCTTTGTTGGTGGTTAATTTGCATATCACACTGATTAGCCAATGGGAGGTGTATCGAAAGTACGGTCAATTACCATGTTTGTCTATTATTAGATAGGATAAAAGTAAACCTGTTTGACTATGGGCCACCAAACTCATGTGCCCTGCCGCCCCTATGTGGATGTCACTCACTAGAAACTGTCCCCTACATTATATTGCTGATAAAAGATTTTTAAAAATAAGTCATCGGTGGTTGGTGAGGGAAGAGGGTTTGAACTGAACACCAAATGACATCATCCAAAGTTTTCACTTGGTGTTGGAGTTTGTTTCTGGGCAGAACCCGGAAGGAAGAATTCCTCACAACAGGAAAACTCACAGGGAGGACATTCAGAAATCCAGCTAGGAATCCAGGATTCCAGACGAGAGAATAAACTAACTCCACAGCGGCACCTGTATCATCACCTGCCTGGCCGGGTGTGCAAGTGGCATGGGTTTTGATGAAATTGTTAAATTGGATTTTCCCAGCTCTACGGATCACACCCACCGCCCACCTCACCCACCACGTCTTGCTCATCGTTTGGCCACATTGAAAACACGCAAGACTTGGGAACTTGTGGGGCAGCTGTGATGACCAAGCAATAGCTCTCAGAATGACTCAGCCCCACCCAAACCATTCCCTCGCACGGCTCCTCCGTTCTAGAGAGGAACAAATCAGACCGTGGTTTACATTTTCCCACCACAGAGCACGCTGTGTGCTTGCCCCGTGGGAAGCCGGTGGACACCTTGGCTTTTCCAAAGGAGTGTGAAACCTGGTGCTTCTAGTGACTGCTTACATCTGGAGGGGCAAACAGAGCCCAGCGGTGGCTCATCTCGCCAGGGAGAGAGCGCTCAGAGGAAGCCAGGGGGTGGGGGTGGGGGTGGAGGTCAAGTAATAAGTGATTTTCAAAAGACAATGAAGTCATGAAATACCACAACCCGCAGTCATGAACAGGAGTAATTCCAAGAATGAAGTATTCTCCTTGTTCCTTTCCCTTCCTTTCCCACGAAACACATGTTTATACTATGCGAGGCATGTCATTCTGAGTCAATGAGCAAGTCTTCCACTCAATGGCCACTTGAGTCATTTTGCAGAAGAGAAAGAAACACCACACGTTGCTGAGTTCACTGATTGGCCCAACGGAAATAACTTCTCAAGTCATCCCGGCCCCGCGCCCTCTCCACATCTTGAGACCAGCACTTACCTTTTTCCAGAACAGTTTGCCCAGAGGCAGAGGGGAGGGCCCCCCCTTCTGCTTGGCACCCTCCTTTGCTGTTTCTGTGGGTGTAGGATTCTTGGCTGCCCCTTGGGTCTCCTGGGGTACAAAGGTGGCTTTGTCCGACTTCAGGTCTGCTGACGTAGCAGGTGACTTTTCAGCACCCTATAGAGTTTTCAAGCAAAATTGAAAATGATCTCCAGATCTCAAAAGTGAAAGATCTCTCTTTTTATAAACATGGGCTGGGGTTGTGCATGTTAATTTTCTTCATACTTTTCCAAATATGCTCCTATGAATGTGGGTTTGTGCTAAAATCTTGGAAAAAGTCAAGAGACTGTCCTTTTGGACAAAAATACCCACGGAACCGTTATTGATCATGTTTATGTAAGTAGCTCATTAGGAACCCAGCTGATTGTAAGAGGCACTTTGCTGTTAGAAGGTTAATGCGCACCCAGGCCATTGGTCTTCAGGTGATGTTGATTATGTTCCTATCAGTACAAACATTTTGAACATGAACCTCCAACACGCATGTCTGTTTATCTTATAGAGATGCATTGTTTTACTAACCCCAGTTCAAAATTACAGAAGGGTTAAAATAAATATAATGTAAAATGTAAGTTTTCGGTTTTTCTCCCACACTCCACTGTGGAGATCGCTGACCCAGGCTACGAGTACGTATGAGACAGCTAGACTGAGTGAAAGGCTCTTGAGTGGGGAGAGCCCCCACAAACCCCATTTCTTCACCTTTAGATGGAGCCTCTATATCTAAATTAGAAGTAATTGAATAGATTGTAATTGACTCAAAACTCAAAACTTATAGTGTTATTCATTTGACCCCTATTTTTTCTCTCTTTTCCTTCCTTCCTTCCTTCCTTCCTTCCTTCCTTCCTTCCTTCCTTCCTTCCTTCCTTCCTTCCTTCCTTCTCTCTCTTCTTCTCTCCCCCAACTCTCTCTTTCTCTTCCTGTCCTCCTTCCCCATTCTCTCTCTCTCTCTCTCTTCCTGTCCCCACTCTGGGTGGCCACGCTGAGGTCTAATTCCAGGATGTCTGACTTCCTCAGGGACAGGGCCATGACCTCCCATGCTCTGCTTCCTCCTGAGTCATGGGGTAAAGGGAATTAGGAGGAAGATAGTTTCAATTGATCTCAACATGAGTGAACACCGGCATTAGCAATTATTTTCTCTTAAAAATATTTTTACTGATTTCAGAGAGGAAGGGAGAGGGAGAGAGAGATAGAAACATCAATGATGAGAGAGCATCATTGATCGGCTGCCTCCTCCATGCCCTCTACTGAGGATTGAGCCCAGGCATGTGTTCTGACCGGGAATTGAACCACGACCTCCCGGTTCATAGGTTGACACTCAGCCACTGAGCCACATGGGTCTGGCCAGCATAACCAATTTTAACACTCGGTCCATCTGACCTGACCTCTTTTAAGCATCTTCATTTTATGATTTGTGCTCCAGGAGTTAGTGACACAAGCCCTTTCAATTCTAGGGATGTCAGATCTCTGACTAAAAGAAAAGAAAAACCCGGCAGTAAAACTGCAGTGTGGAAATTCAGGAAGCTTCATGGTACTTTTGATGTTGGACAGATTCTTAGAGACCCTCTGGGCCAATGCCCGAATTTTCAGGGACGGGGAAACTGAGGCCCATGATCTGCTCGACATTAATTAGGGGCCACAGCCTGGCCTCAGCTCTGAACTTTGGCTTTCTTTCCACACAGCACATCGCCTCTCCAAAGGGTGTTTGCAAAGGACATCAATTTGACTGTTTGAAGCCACACGCTGTGTTTTCTGTGCTTCTTAGAAGAGGGAGAAATTCTAGAACTTCGGAATCTGGGGGCTTCGGTTGTGTGTGTGTGTGGAACCCTCATGGAGCTTTGGCTGAATGGGCTGAGCACAATGACGGGGCAGCCACAAGCTGGACAGATACCACAGCACCTCAGGGTAAATAGCAAGCACCGATTTACCGTCCAAACAGCGTGGGTGGGGTCGTTAAGCAACCGTAAGGGCGCTAGCAGGATTGATGACTGCCCCTCGGGAAAACCTGAGTGGGGACGGGGCACTTCTGGGCGTGGCCAAAGCACTAAAACAATGCGTCCGCCACTGAGCCTGTGGTCACGCCCAGTGTTTGGGGACTCATGAGAAGGGTCCAATCTGAGGCATTGCGGATTCAGATTCAGCCAAGGAGAGCTGACACTTTTTATTCTTTATAGCAAGAATGCTATTCCATTTATTAATTCCAGGCTTCTCACTTTTTTAGACT